TAGTTTTCTCTTTCAATAGATTTGTGAACATCTCAAAATTAGGCATGTGAGTGACTTTAGTACATATCTAGTATAGCATTTGTAAATCCTTTTATGGGTTCTTTTTTCTCTAGTTTGCTTATAAATGCCTAACACAATATCTATGCTTTACCATTGGTATTATTTACGCTATCTGACTCCCAAAAATCTCTAAAATATCCAGATTTGTTAAATTAATGAAGATTATAAATAAAATAAAATAAATAAACCAAATCAAATTGAAAAATAATAAGTCCGATAGCATCACCTTTTGTTAGTTAGATATTATTTTCCATCAATCACCATCATTTATATCAAGATTAGCTTTCAAGTTCTTCAAAAAACTTGACCAAGTTGCCCAAAATTCTATATCAACCACTACCCAAGCAATTGAAAGCATTTGGTTGTTTTCATCCTCGCCAATTGCATATAGAATCTATCTTTTACATACCGCCTTAAGAAAGCATCCATCTAGCCCTATTACCTTTCTACATCTAACAAAAAGCCCTTTTCTTACAACACTCAAAAGAAATGTACATTGTCTCAAAAATTGGCAATAACTATAGCATACTCTGCAACTTTGACAATGTAAATTATGCTTCCAATATTTGACCTCCTTAAATCAAATTCATAGTCTTCAAGTTTAACATATTATGCTTTAGTTTCACTCCGGATCTATTCCATCAACCTCTCTTTAGCTTTGCCACATTTTGATAATACAACTTTTAGACCATATTTATCTCTCGACAACATCTCTAATTAATTCACAAAGCTTCATTGATAGTAGAGCTTTCATTTCATTGAACATATTGTTGGCCAACTAAGTACTTGTGAGTTTGTAGTTGTATAAAAAGGATCGCATTGATGATTGCCAAAGTAAGTCTTTACCTTGAAATCAAGTGAGTTTTTCTCATATGATACACATATTTCTCAACTACATTTTAAAGTCTTGTACATTATCCTCTCTATAAAATCAGTATTGTTTTTGTATATAAAGTGATGCTTCTAAAGAATTGAATGCTTTATCAAAGCCTTCTTAAACTAATTTGGATCATCAAATACCATGTCAAAGGAGAAATAAGGTTGCTCTGCTTTTGCATCATAAAATGGTGTCTTACTCCTCCTAATTTCAATATCATTATCTTCACCATTTGCATTCTCATTACTACAATTATCATCTTCTAAATGTAATCAGTCATATAGCCTACATCAATATCTAAGATCTCATAATTCTTATTGCATTATTCCTCATAATAGTCTTTTTGGTGCTTTTTTCTAATACCTTACCCTTGTACTCTTTTGTGTAAAACTTCTTCAAATTCACCCTTGCTTTTTTTCACCTCATCATCATCATCGGATAGACAATCAATATCTAGATCAACCAAATCAACTTCATCTACTTCAGAATCTAACTCATCGACCTCCACACTATCTTCATCATTACTTTTCTCAATATCTTCAATGTCCACCCCCATCATCATCATTAACATCGGCTTCATTATTGACCACAACTTTATCATTATTTCAATCTTTTCTCTTAACCCCAATTTCACAATTAAATTCACCATCATTTCCCGCTCCATTGACGACCCTCACATAACCATCATCCGTTTTACCACTAAAACTATAAACTCCATTCTCACTCACATGCTCTTCAAGCTTCTCATAGCATTACTTAATGTAATCTGCCAACTCAATAAAAGTATCTATAATATTATATCTCTCTAAAAACTTAATTAATTGAATTACGACCAAATCACAATCTAAAGGAAAAGAGGCCCTTCTCTATTCTAGTAGCAAGGTTAGAGAAATACATGCCGACAATATGCTTAAACCCTTTCTCTTAGCAAAATTGATAATGTCCCACATACATATGTTGTCAATACTTTTGACAAAGTAAATAGCTTTTTTACTTCCCAAATATTCGAATTTTGAATCATTGACAAATTGTCTACCATAATGCAACACAATTTTGGATCTTTGTTTGGATTGGTCTCTTATCACTACAACATCAAGGAATAAAAAGATTTTAGAAAACAATTAAAAAAAAAAAAGGAGGTCATTCAATTTGTAGTAAACAAACCATTACAATACAAAATAATAATAATAATAATAAATAAATAAATAAATACCCTATTCTCGATGTCTCCATCTCATTAAAATTCAATTCTTGCTACTATGTCCATCTTAGAGGTCGTTCTTCGTGCTTTTGGGTTCTAAATTTAGGGTTCACTTTCACGACAATAATTGACAAAAAATAAGAGAAGATAAAGTAATATTAGGTTTGAGTTAGTTGTTTCGGGATTTTTTTTTTTTTAACTTCTAATTGATGAAGTTAACTATCTTTTTCAGTTTTAACTAATATTTTTTTTTTAAGTAATATTAGGTTGGGTTCTGCATGCCATCTACTTTGTTTTTTTTTTTTAATTAATAATTAAAAAATAATAAAACTTTGAGAGAAGCAAAAAAGATAACATAGTCATTTATCCATTTCTATTAGCAACCACAACATCATTATACAAAAATATGAACGAAAAAACCTAATTAGTATTTTTGAAAAAATTGATATAGTGAAATGGAAAATAAAAATTGATATACCCAATAAGAAAAGTTTCAGACTTGGTATACTTATTATGTAATTTTTTCTTATAACGAATGTTTGATTCCCAAACTTTATTTCGGTTGAAAAAGAAAGAGGAGTTGTTGCTACCCAAAATTTTTCTAGTTTCTTCTTAATATGCTCCAGTGATTATACCAAACAAATATCTTTCGGTCAAATTAACAACTGAGATAATTGTGGCCCCTTTCACTACGATTGTGATACGAGAATACATGTACTTATTTTAATGGACCCGTTTTTTACTAGGTTCTGCTTCAAGAATGAAAGGGTGTTAGAACAATAGTTTAAAAGACTGTTGAGTCGGGAAAACAATGAGGAGAAAAGTTAACAGTGATTTGAGTGTAGGAACAGAGGATGACCATTTCCATCTTGCTTTCACTGCATTCCAATCGTCAATTTTGATTGGACAAAAGTTTACAAAATCTGTTTGATACCAATACTGTTCTATACTATATTCTATAATGACACGTGCTTGTGGTTTAATTCCGGTGTTGTTAGCAAAACTATTAGTTAATCAATTAGGTTTAAAACACGAAAAATCTAAGAGTTAGATTGGGGAACAAGGACGTGTACTCTCACTTGATTTCTTAAATTTTAATCTTAAGGTTTTTTTTTTTTTTTTTTAATGCACTAGATTAATGAAAAGAATATGCACTTTAGTTGGCTCAGAAATAGAATTTAATATGTAAACTAATTCGAAAATGCCTCTTATAATCAAATTAAAAAAGAAAAAACCAATATTGAATCTCTATATTTTATTATTTATTTGTAATTTAATCCATCCATTAGTATTACATGACAATTTAATTTTTTTTTTAATATATATAATCTCACCTGCAAAAACAACTGACACTTTTTTTTAAATTACTCTTAAAATATTCAATTATATATTTTTTTCAATCAAATACATAGACATTAATATTTTACATTTAAGTACATCAATTTTTCAAAACTATCATTCAAGAACTACTGTTTATTTATTTATTTATTATTACTATTATTATTTGTTAACTGATGATTTATCTATTACTTTAGAATACTAAATTATAAATTTCCTCTCTTTTTGTTGGAGGGAACTTTCCTCCCAAATGCTCACAATCAATAAGTATTCTTAATTAAAAAAAAAAAAAAATTCATTTGTGTTTTTTTTTCCGTTCCCATGCCTAAACTTAACTTGATTTTTTTTTTTCGATTTAGGCATGAAAAAAAAAAAAAAACTCAATTAGGTTTATACTTGAACTAAACTAAGTTAGGTTGTACCAAATTCAGTTAGATTTTTTTTTTCTTAAAAATTCAGTTAGATTTTTTTTTCTTATTTTTAAGAAAAAAAAATCTAACTGAATTTGGTACAACCTAACTTAGTTTAGTTCAAGTATAAAACCTAATTGAGTTTTTTTTTTTTTTTTTTCATGCCTAAATCTAACCAAGGTTTTTCTTCTTTTTTTTTTCTAAAAAAAAAAAAAAACAAATCTAACTGAATTTACTTCAGGATTTTATAACTAAAAAATAATTTTTTTAATTCTTTGTTAAATTTTGAAGGAAATTTCTCAAAAAACAAGAAAAAAACAAAATCATAATTTGATAGTCCAAGGATGACACATACTTTTGTTAGTTAATGAAAAAACCGACAAACATGCTTCACTAACAAAATTAAAATTTATATGTTCAATTGAGAAAATAAAACAAAGTTATAATTTATATGCTCAAGTGAGAAAATAAAACAAAATTATAATTTGATATTCTAAAAATAACAAACAGATCATCAGTTAAAAATTAACAAAAATATTTTATTAGAAATTTTAAGAAAATAAATGTACTCAAACAGAGTAAAATTAAATTCATATACTAACAGTTGGTATGGTTGTTATAGTGTAATTATCCCCAAAATTCTCCAATCTGTCCAAATCATTAATTGCGCCCTAAATTGATAATGTTAGCATCTTGGAAATAGGTTAAGATGTTTGTTATCAATTGCGCATTCGGTGAGCGAGGAAAAACTAAAACCCAAGAAAAATGATTAAATTTTTCCAATGAAGAAAACATGCTTGAAGAGCAATGCTGCTTAATTAGGGTATATTTTCGTATTTTGTTGTACAACAGTGTTCAAGATACAACTCCTACGAGCCTATTACAAATAGAGCTCTCTTTATCTCTTCTCTATCTCATATTTATATGCAACTTAGCCCAAAGAAAAGGAGAGAATATTTTTTTTATGAAGTGATTTAAATGCTATAAAACAATGGTTGAAGACAATAGCAGGAATTGTCACTGGTTCGAAAACCAGCAACCATTGCGTTACCCAGCAAAGAAAAACACTGGGACTGCAGCTCAGCAATCATGATGACCCTTTATTCGTATAACATTAATGAAAAACTTGGGATGCATAATACTCGCTCTCATTAAACACAGGTCTTAAGTCTTCCTTGCACATGAAGTCCAGAGGGAAAGAAACAAGATGCCCCCGCACCGACTGTAATCTCTCCAGTGGATCAGTGTTCTTTATGTCTCCATTTTGGTAAGATTCAAGCTTTTGAGGGGCTATCCCTAAATCAATGGTGGTATGGCCAAGCCTATCCTTCCAGAACACCATATTTTGTCTGAGTGCAGCTCTGCAAGTGATTAGGGGCATAAGCAATTAATAAAGATTATTAGGCAGGGAAAGATAAGTGAAGTATCATACCTCGTATGTATAAGGTCATTAGGCACACAAGAAAAGACATCCTGATAGATCATGGTGTTTGTCTGTCAAACGAGAATCAAAAATACATGATTGTTAGTTTGTAGGCCAATTTCGATGCAACCGCAAAAGCACCATCAGGACAAACCTCATGCAAAAGAAGCAATGTTTATGCCCTTTAGTAAATATGAAATTGAGAATCGTTTTTCCCTCTCGTATTTGGTTGAAATAAAAGCACAGGCAGATTTTTTTGAAGCAAATTAATGTTTTTATGCAAAAGAATATGCGCTATAACTTCATAACTACCCTCTTCTCTTTGCCCCAAACCTTTCAGGATGACACCCTTGTCCAAAACACATATCACATTCTTCTACTAATGTTTTAAAAAACGACTAAGCTGTCGGCCACGTAAAGAGAGCACCAAGGTAAGAGGTTTGACAGAGGTAATAGCTTAGCAACAATTGTACTACATTGGAAATGACATGTCCAACAACAAATCCAATGAGAATAAAATAAGATTAAAGGAACAAGCAAGAGAGAGAGAGAGAGAGAGATTAAAGCAACAAGTTGTTAACAAAAGGTGACAGTAGTTTAGCCATTCAAAGCGCTCCATCTACATCAGCAGATCTAGAGCATACTCTTTAAATGAGAACACAGCCTCTCGACATGCTTACATGTCAGCTAATTAAAAATTTCGTCTTCTATGCATGTAAAAGAATTTTCCTCCACTAGTGTTTGAAAGAACTTAGAAACTTCATATGACAATGCCTAGCAACTTACATACCCTATTAATGCAAGCTTTCGAACTATCGAACACTGCCCTCAACCCATATGGAAAGCCCTCAGGATTCAGCATTTAACATAAACAAACAATATACATTGGATATTTGCAGGCAGCAATTACAAAATGTTCTTCACGTTGAATCTAAGTTTTGAAAAAGAAAAGGTGCTTTATGAAAGTCCTCTAAAATAAAATCAGTTATGTTCTCACCTTTGCAGTTGACATCCATATGTCTTTGTAAGTTGAATCAATTACTGGGTCGATTACTTTATTGATCTGAAATTAGAAGAAAAAAGAATGTACATTGTCAGCTGGAAAGCAGTTAACAGTAATCTATCGGTGCTGTGACTTCCTAATTCTGGAGTAGTTTATAATTCTACAGTCAAGTACACTAACCTCTTTGGCACGAAGACCAAGGTGTTCAGACCACAATGAAAGGCGGAGACTAAGAGCAAATTTCCCAGCCTTCCAAGGCTTCCCTCCCAGCAATGAGCCCACTAACTCTTTGTCTTCAATAAGTATCCCAATCTATAACAAATTTGTCACAAAGAAACATAATTGTTAAAAGTTTCACCAGCCATATGCTATAAAATCAACTCCCATCCTCTTTCACATGTACTCACTACTCATCATAAATTCAATTTTATATTTGCAAGTTTCCATGGCACAAACAACTATATCAAGGGCATTCTGGTAAGGGTTTAAACTGAGACAGATCATTATTTCTTAATTGTATTAGACATGCATTAACTTTTGAGAATCAAAGCTTCTCCAAACAGAGAAACTTATAGCAAAACCTGGAATGAACCCATACCTCAGAATCTCGTGATCCAAGCAAACTCCTGTCATTAATATTAGCCGATCCAATCAAGGTTACATGGTCATCAATTATCATGATTTTGCTATGGACATAAACCTGCAGATACAATAAGGATAGATAAGAATTGTGTTGAATACAAAGAAACATTGTACATTAAATCACAAAAAGTTTACAGATTGAGGTGAGGCGCCTATAAGCAGCATCTGTCAATGACTGAGGAACAAAATAATAGATGAAGTGAATAAACTGCGTGAGATCCATGCATACCTGACTGGTGGCTACAGGACCACCATTAAAAAGTTGACCATAAGCTCTAAGGCCATAGAAAGAAATGTAATCATGTGCTTTCGGACCAAGAAGATCATAAAGATTATGCAATATTGAATTCTGTCCCCTGCAAATAGTTCGATATTGCCAATGCATGATGGCTCTGACGGATGCTGCACCACCATCATCTACACCACCCTGTGAGACGAAAGCTTAAGCCAACAAAAGCGAGAAAAAAAAAAAGAACATCCGAATTTCAAATGTCAAGGAATGAACAAATAATTAGAACCTGGAAACCAGGAAGTACTGGTATGACAATAATAACCCTGAAACACTTCTTATCATTAAATGCTCGCATAATACGCCGATACAATGCTTCTAACACACGATTCTGTATAATGTCATCTCCTGAAAGACCTGATATGAAAAATTGATTCTGGGAAACCCAGCAATGCAGCAAAAGTCAGGCAAAATGAATAATTTCAGACATACAATCTGCCTTAACATCAGAATATGAAACTTCCATGCTGATTAGAAAGACAGCAAAAATAAAGAAAAATTACGGCTGATGAAATAAATTTTTTACTCTCATTAACAAAACCATCTGTTAACCAAATTATTAAAGTCTGAAGTAAAATCATTCTTAATGCCTTCGTCAGCATTAAAAACTCTTTACAATCATTAGAAAGCCACATCCAAGATTGCTCCTCCAAATTCATCATAGATGAAAAGCTATCCTTCTGTAAAAAGATCGCTAAGCAGCAATCAATTCATAGCTTCCAACAATCAATAACACTTCCCATCAGTTAACCTCTAAAACTGACTGAATTCACTTGCTCTGGCCTAAAACCCACTCATCCTATGCCTCTCTACTTTTCCTTTTCTTAGCCTGCCCAGGACCCAGGCTAGTATTAGTGATATCTTTCAGGATGCACTCTTAGTAAATGTGAGTGAGCAAGTTCACAAAGTAAGATTAGAGTATCTAAAATAAACTCATGACTCGACATAAGCAAATAAAACAGGAATAGAGTGCCTTGGCCATAGCTTGGATGGTGAAGGGTACCAAGCACAGCTGGGTAGTCCAATGATGGGATGATACCTGTGCAACCACCAACCCTCTACACTACCAGATAAAGGCTGAACACTTATATTGTGTTAGATACAAGTATCTTCTTGCAATTCTGCCCTCTCTAAATGCCATTCCTTTAAATACTGTGCAGTCAAATCTTTTGTCGCTGCACCATTAGCATCAAGTATAGCCACTCCAACCCCCCACCACCCCTCTTTTGTCATTTCGTGGCTCAAACCAAATTCATGTCAATCCACCTTGCCAGTGATGCAAGGGAGGTCCCACTCTCAGAGACTGAACCATATATAACGAGATGGCAATTTTACAAGCAGCTGTTCAATATGACTTGAAAAGCTCACTAGCAGTCAATACGAACGTGAGAAAAAAGAAAACTGCAGAAAATCTTTTCAATTGAGTGTTTCAACTATATTCCCACTGAGGAATCTATTCAAATTGAGCTGGACATCTTGTCCGTAAGTTGTGCAACAGACAGTGGGTTCCATTCACTGAAAGACAATAAATAATGGATAACGGTTTATACCTCGATGTAGACAAAGTGCTCTGCTTTCTCTATAAGAGAACAATAAGCATGGTGAATGCTCTCTTCAATTTGGCTTGTTCCAGCAGACCACTGACTCACACTCCTTATAATCTGGAAAATGAGAGAAATCTTTGATAACAGAGGATACAGATTAAGTTTTATGGATGATTTATAAACATAAGTGTTGGAAAAAAAAAAAAAAATCAACTGTGCTGTCTTGTAAAACGAGAACATCTGACAAAGAAAACCAAACAAGTTATGCTCTTCCAATTACACAACATTTATCATGGGCAACAAAAACAACGAGTAACTTGTGCTCTTCCAGTTGTACAACATTTATCATTGGCCATGTACCAATGACTTCCCATGTGAAATTCAAAACCACATACTAATAAATATGAAGCCTTCATTTATTTTTCTTCCCAAATACAGAATTCAAGCACCATTTTAGATGCTCTCAATTCTTCCCCCCTTTTTTTTTCCTCAAATAAATAGACAGACCTTTCAGTTCCTCTAAAATTGCTTTGCATCCAGTAGATTAAAACAAGAACAAGACTCTTTCTAAGGATAAACATAAGACATGCAATGATCAATCTACACATACATCATTAAAAAGTAAGAAATTGGGGCAAACCATGTTAAAAATGATCCCATGTTGACATTGACTGAGATCATCAGATGAGTCAAGGTAAGTTTCATACACTTAATTACAAATAAAAGAATTGCATAAAACATCATGAGTAGTAACACACCTGACAATGACAAGAAACACGAGGACCAACTTGCCCACTTTGATCCATAGAACCAACCTGATCAACCCTTTCTTGTGTTTCCCACCACTCCAAGTCAGAAGTTTTGGAGCAAGCCTGTGCTGATAAATCTGGAGACACTTTCACATGAAGGTCCAAGGCATCATGGTCATCTACAAAGCTTGTCATTGGCATGTCTGGAACAACCGATTCAATTTTGGATTTCCGGAACGCATGTGGGAGGCTTCTGCCAGGGGTAGAGTCCAACCCATTTAATTTTGGGCCTACACCAGAACCATCAGGCCCATCAGCTTCCTGAGGCAAAAGAAGAGGAATGTCTTGTAAAGATGATCTAGAAGAAAATGAATCCTGCCTTTTAATGCCTTTTACATTATCTTCAATATCCTTTCTTTCAACTTCCATCTCTTTGTTTTGCCCCATATAGTGCGGAATAACCATGTGCTGCTGGGGCATAAGTAGTGGAATTGCTTCCTCATATGGAGCTTTATTTCTCTGGAAAAAAGGAAAAAGCATATTCATGTCAAAATTAAAAGCTTTCCCAACCTGCAGCACAACCATCATACTAATTGGTGCTAAACTTTGACCTTGGCATAGTTCCAACGCTGTACGAAGTGCCTAGCTACATCACGACAAGGTGGTCCCCAAAGAGCACAATGGACATCATGCCAAGGCATTCGAGGATATTTTCCACGATCCAATTCATCTTTCATCATATCTTCCCATGAATTTGGTTCAGATTCCCTGGAAAATGAAGTGAAAACTCATTTCATAAATCCAGGAGATGGAAATCCTGCTTAAATTCAACTAAACTAACATGCCGAAAGGACACCACACCAATCGGTCATTTTTCAGATGACTCATTGAACAGAAGTCTTTTATGCCTGACTTCTACAATTGGCAATGCATTTCGAAGTGCATTGGGACTGGAAAGGCATCAAATTTATGATTTTTTTAGTGCTTTTGGATGATTTTGACATCTTCAAAATCATTGAGAAGCACCCAAACGCACTTCTGCAAAAGCACTTGCACCACATTACCAAACATGCATTTACAATTGCACAAACAGGTTATTGCAAATTGTGTAGGATTACCTCTACTTCAAGAACATAACATAAACACATTAAGTGGCTATCTATGATTGAGCATATGTTTTTATATTAAATTCTACTAATTATCTTTAGTTGAGCATATGTTTGTGGATATTAAATTCCAGTGACTTCAACGTGTCAGACTTGAAAAATCTTGTAACTAAGTTTCAAGGATATAATCAGTTAATCAAACAGCAGAAACCACTGAAACCAGCAACAACAGATATAAGATGATATAAATAAAATAACCAAAGTAATGAATCATTTATATTTTCATCAATCTCTGAAAAAATGTCCACTGCAAATTCTAAGAAATGATATCCGAGTAAAGAAAAAACAAACTAGTCACCTTGGGTTATAATAATCCTTTCCTGGCCATTCTTGAGGAGGGCAGTCGCCCACTTTGTGTTCACATGTGTCATAACGACCAAAGCATAAGTCCAGTCCTCCAATAAAGCAAATCTGGTGATCCACAATGACAAGCTTTTCATGGTGGGACCTAAACATAACCAAAATATATATATCAGAAACTGAAAAGCCCATTCTAACAAAGATAACTCATAATTTGGTTCTGCCTGACACTCTTAAAGCTTGTCCAATAATGCATACCAAAGGTAAACACCTGAAGAAAAGTGGTCAGGATACCGCAGCACCCTCACATTCTCATGAATACTAAGAAGCTTTCTCTTGCTATACACACTGTTGATTTTCAGAGCAAGAGCCACCTCTTTATAAAGAAGAATATATATCTGCAGTGAAAAAATTAAGATTACACCACCGGTCATCTATATAAAACCAAAGCAAGCTAGAAGAATTGCTACAAAGGAATCTTGATAAAACTCCATGTCACAAAACACTTTCTTAAGGGCTTTCCTTAAGATTTTTAGAACTTTAGTTTGACTTGTAAATATACCTTAACGTGCCTAGATGCCTAAAGTTTATCAGGCAATAGTGCCATTTAACCAGAAAGCACATATACAGGTGGAAAAGAAATGTAGTGGAATACAATGCTTGCAGAAGCTTTCTATTTATTCTTCCAAAGTTCATGCCCCTATTGCCATAGAAGATAAGACATCTAGAGAACATTTGTGCCCAAATAAACAATTCATGACCCATCCTCCAGTTTAACACCAGTCATGCTTTAGAGAGGGAGAGAGAGGCGCAAAATTTTTATGCAAATTGTAAATAAAACTATGTATCAAATCAACCGTCATAAGTAAAAAGGCATCAAAACAGGAAAGAAAAACAATAAACAAGCAATTAGCACCTGAACCCCTTGTTTAGCTTTAGCTTCCAGCAAAGAATCAAGTCTAGAGGAGGCATGAACAAGAAAAGGACGTCGTAGATAAAGCTCTGGACACAGCCACCACCCACAAATAAATATCTGCACAGAATTACCAACAATCCAAAAACTACTGTATAAATTAAATGTAAATAACAATGAGGAGAGCTGATTCAATGTACTGGAGCTGACCTCAGATTTAGCATTCTCAATTGATGAAGCAATAGCATCAAAAGCTGCCCTACCATCTACAAACCATTGAGCCTGACTACCATCTTCAGACAAACCCCTAGGAGGAGCAAAGGAACCAAAGCGATGAGGATGACACCAACCCTCAGGAGGCCTAAGCCCAGCATCATTAATCGCAGCAACCCAATCTTTAACTCTGGCACCACTTTTAGATCTCAAGTCTATGCTTCTGTTTTCACATGTAACCTTTGAAGTTTCCAATCAACTGTTAGTGAGTGAAATTATCTGATACAATTTCCTCATCACTAAAAAACATTAATAAAATTAACAGTAATGAGAAGGAATATCCATCACAAATTTGAACAATATCCTCAGCCACACTACTTTGTTTTGAGAGGCACCATAGGCACAGAATTTTGTCTAATAGCCATTGGAATTTTTTATGTGAAAAATGGACAAAGATTCCATTCAATTTCCCTTTTTTCTTTTCTTTTTTTTATTTTTTGAATAAAACTTCACTTTGATTTGTTTACATGTATTTGCACTTTACACAAGACATGAATTATAAAACCTCATTTTCTACTATCCAGGTTAAAAGTACTATTGCAGCTCCTTGTCTCCTTCCCACAAAAAGATTTTCTGTTCTTCCAATCTCTTCCCAACAAAAACTAAAAACAGAGACCATGAGGAAAATCCAGATATAAAAGGAAGTTAAAGTATCCATGATATAAATGATATGAAGTGATATAGAAAGGAGGACCTTTTATTGGATATTGTCTTGAACACAGCTGTTGGCAGTTTCTTTTCATTTTGATGTTTACTATGTCTGAGTTTTGTTTTGCTGATTTTTTTGGATTGTGATAATTTTCAATCAAGTGGATGGCTCCATTGCTTTGGGTGAAGCTGGTTGTGATTACAGCTTTAATGCTCATCAAATGTTCATTGTTACAAGGTGGTTAGGTTTTAGAGGTTGAGGTCCTGCCTATACTGTGAGCTTTTGATTCTTAAAGTCTTGTTCAGGCTGTCTAGGTGGTGGTATTCTCTTATGATCATATTTGACTTGGAGGCCATTTGATTGCTTAAGGATCTGTTATAATAGGAAGACATATTATCCTCAAGGAAAGCTGGGATCTCTAAACGAAAACAAGTCAGCAAATCAGTTGTGTAATTTAAATCTGCAAAAACTGACAAGTTTCGTGCCATTACACAATAAAATGCACCAATAGCTCTTCCCTTTGTTTCTTATTCTTTATTGGTGAGGATATCATGTAAACCCAAAAACCTACTTGTGCATGAGAAGCATTGAAAAAATTTACAGAAATTTTAGGAAAAGAAACTGCAATATCTAATGCAATGATCAGATTCCAAATGAATTTTTCATTTGTTCCGAAGTCATTCCATAACCGGAAAAAAAAATGGTGAGGAGTTCTACTTAAAAGTTCCAAAAGGCTTTAGAGAGGTAGAGGAAAAAAATTAGTCAGCAATGGCAGAGCTGGAAGTCACCACTAAAAGTGAAAAGTAAAAGATTTAATTTGATTTAAAATATCTGGGATTCAGTATTCATGAATTGAATATAACACCTAAGAACATGTTGTATATAAAGGCATCTGGCATGAATTCCCTCCATATTTCTTTATTCAGTTGTTTACTACACATTTCCTAAAAAACAACTGATGTAATCAATCAGATTCTGACATACAGAGAAAGATAATATTCACTTTGTAAAATGCAATGGCTATCATCCAACCTGCCTTACCATAAAAAACCAGCAATATGCTCATAACTTCTCAGCTTACAATGTGCTTGTGTGTGTGTGTGTGTGTGTGTGTGTGTGTGTGTGTGTGTGCATGCGCGCGTAACTGATCCTTAATCAAGAAAGGCAGCCGACACCAAATCAAGGATTTACCATCAGCAGCAAAGTATTGGGATAGGCAGTGTACAAAATAACGTCATCGAAATTTTAAAGTGAAACTCAAGGTCAAATTGATTACTTGTACAAAAGCACAATAAAGAAAATCCCACAGAAGAAATAATCTGCATGCTGCTTACCTTAAAACCGTGCCGTAAAGGATTCCGCTCCTTTATTTCTGCTGCTAATGACACTCGGCCTTCACCACTTCCATCTGAAGCAGGTAATAAATCAAAAACAATTATATCCAAAGGTTTGGTAGCAAAAGGATCAGCCAGCAGCGCCAGAAATCCAGGTTTCAAAACAACCCACACCTGCAGAAAATCATAAGACAGAGAATGTTGTGTGATTCCTCTTGTTGTGGAACCTACAGAAAGTTTTAGCAGTCTATTGTTGGTGTACTATCAAGAAGACCCCAATTAAACCACAAAAGTTGACATGCATCTCCTGGGTAAATTATTGCTGAACTAATCTTCTCCCTTGCCACTACTAGCAATTTCCACCCTTTCAGCTTTAGAATGACAAAAATCATATGCTCTATCTAAACTTTTGCAACAATTATCAACGTTTGAACTAAAGCAGCAATATCCAATAAACAAGTTGTAATTTTGTGAATGCTGGATTGTAAAGGAATAAGATTCATAAGGATAAAACATGTGAAATGCAATGCATAATGTTCTATACTTGCAAAATGAATTAAGGTTATCAAGTTACTTATCAAGGTTTTAGATAGCTCAGCAGAATGATGTACAAGGACTAGGCATTTCACCCTGTCTTGTCCAGCAGAGTATAAAGACATGATAATGATTTTTTTTCTTTTCCACTTCTGCATATCTTAACTGGCATATGTGGCACCCCTATTACATTTGAGCTCCACAATACATGCCGACACATAAAGAAAGTGTGCTTTTATACCAGTATTCATGTCTACCCAACAAACTTGACTTCCTTATTAAGAAGATTTCTAATTAGAATTAGACCGGGTGTCTAAATCAAGAAGGAGAAAGCAGGGAGGTAGCCACACAGATGCATATGTTTGTGCAAACATTCATTTGTGGAAGGGGAAGGAGGTCTCGTATATGTGTTCTCAGAAGAAGATTCAGTGTTAGATACACGAGATATCATTCAACAATATCAACAAAACCAAAAGCAATGACGAACCATACACAAAAACCCTTCATTGTTGCACAACTGTGCACATAACCAAAATGACAAATGTAAATCTTCAAACCAATGCCAGGTACAGACCTAGTTTTGGGACAAGATTGCATTACCTTCTGCCAGTTGTCATTACAGCAACTAAACCAACTGCAAGAACAACATTTCCTGGAATCATCATTCTTCACTATTTGTGGTAGATGCTTCACCATAACATATTCTTCTTTCAGCTTAGGGCCATATTCTGGTAAAAAGGACAACTTAGAGACCTCCAAAAACTTGCAAACCTACAGCAGAAATTGTCTATTGTAAAATGCATCCCATTTGGCAATCAAAAAGCAGTAAAAATTAAAAACAGGAAAAAATTTAAAATTTCAAACCATTAGGCTTTAAAAAACCAAGACTTTGGAATTATGGGTCCTGTAGTTTAAATTCTCTACGATAGTTTCACACAGTTCATCATCACACCACACAAACAGAGAAAATTCCTGACTACATAGACATCAATTGATTTGAGTGTTCAAGGAAATGATGAAGGTTGTACAGATGAATGGCAGCCTGACAGGTCAATTAATGCATCACATGGATTTGAACAGCAGGCATGCTTATGATGAGAGAAAAGACCAATAAAGTAATCAAACTCAATTGAAGGCAGCACAATAGCAGAAGACATGAATTGCTGATTAAGGCATACATTGAGCAAGGATGAAAAGTGATGCTTCAATGATATGCCTGATATATTGTTTTTGGCTTGAACTTGTAAACAATTCAAAAAACAATGTGGGACTGTATTGATAATTGCCAGATACTAGAATATTAAAAAAATCCTCAAGTGACATTAAAGAGGAGAAAAGAAAGTTGCCTTCAATTTTTTTATTTTTTATTTTTTTTATTAAGTTGCCACACCTGCTATATATAAACAGAACTTCTGTTTGGACACCTTACTTTTTTTTATTCTGCCAATTGCATAGAATCGTAAATGAAATCGGATTCTATATAATACAACGAAAAAATTATAAATTCAAAAATAAAATAGAATTTAAAAGATCAAAAATCAATTAAAAAAAAAGGTGGATAGAAAAACTCATTAGATACCATAGATTCTGATATCTAATAAGTTATACCTACTATTGGATTTGAACCAATGACTCCTGCCGTATGAAAGCAATACTCTAACCCTTTGACAGCATCCACTAATTCGGAACTTAATTTGAAAACCATACTTTCACCCAAATGTTTTCGGGACGCTCCTAATAAGCAACGAATGGCAAGTGTTTTTCCTTGTGTGGATCCTATTTCAATTATATATAACATGGGCACAAGAGACAAAGAAGAGGGCATGTAAGAACTAAAGTGAATATGCTGAGCTGGCCCTCACATTGGACTTCAGAATAATAGTAGCTAGTAAAGCTGCTGGATTTATCTATCTAAAATTTAAATTTTTCTCAAGTCGCCACAATATGAAAGTTAATCTATGTTATTCACTTTGTTAATTTGAAATAAAAGCTTTCACTGACCATAAACCAATCATGAATATGTATTCCAAATAACACCAGCAACAAAAAAAGACAGGTACCAGAAACTTGAAAAGAAAAGAAGTAGAGTCCAAACATACCTCTCGGGAGTTAACAATATCCATGTTCCCTAAAAAGTGATTTAAATATTGTTGCATTGCAACCTTTGCATTGTCTGACATCGAATGCTGCCTTCCCAATGCTGGACGAATAACTGGTAGAGCAGCTATTGACGGAACATCTCTGAACAGAAAAAACACCCATAAGAATTATGAGAATTACTGTATACAGGGGATATAAATCATGTTTAAAAATTATAAAAATGTGTAAGCTGTAACCTGTTTTTGGCACTTTCATCATGATTCAATGGAACAGTCTCATCATCGGCATCATCATCATCATGCACCATGGGCGTATGATCTCCTATTCCTAGATTTTGAAGCCATTCTTTAACCTTTAATATAATGTTCCAATGAAAAAAACATCAAAACCACATGCCTTCCCGGAGAAAGTCAAATCAACAACATAACCACCTCAAAGAATTCAGTTATACAAAAAACAAATATACAAAAACTAAACCAATGCCATCCACACCACACACAGACACACCTGCTCTTGCTTCTCGTGAATTTCCTCAAAAAATAAACGTTTCTTCAATGCAAAATGTAAATAAAACACTTGCGCCGCTTTCTTCAATAATGTCCACTTGAACTGAATTCACCAAAAAAAAATTACATGCTAAATTATTTGCATTAAAAAAAATCTCATTAAGTAATTCTTTAATAATACTTAAATACGTAATTTATCCTGGGTTAATAGAATCTAAGCTTTAAATTTTACTTTTTTACTAGCTTTTATGAATATTCACAGCATCGAAACACGGCCTAAAGAATATTCAAATTCAAATTTAATAGTCAAAATTCAAAACCCAAAAACTCCAATTCACACAAAATTCAGAAACCCTAAAAACAAAATCGAGTTCAAATTTTGTTAACCGATCGCGTAACTGTACCTGTTTGTATTGAACTTCTATAGTGTAAGATAATTGAACAGGACTAATATCGCTGGGGTCAGGTCTAGAGACGGAGACGATAGTGGCTTTCGGTAATTCATCGAAAATCCAACCGGATTCCGGTGTCGAACCTTGACGGAAAGAGAAGAAGGACGACATGATGGATGATGATTGTGCTTGTAACGGCGTTGATGGCTCTGATTGCATTTGTACGTATCGGGGACCACCACCTCCAACACTTCCCACTCCCATTAATTGCTCCGATGATGCCATTGACTTTGATTTTTTGTTATGATTTAATTTAATTTAGCAATTAGAGAGAGAGAGAGAGAGAGAGAGAGAGAATGAGGTTTATCTAGAAATTTTATTTTATTTTTTTTATCTAAATTTTCTGGTAGATTGAAGAAGATACAAGGAAGGTTTGCAACGGCCGGTTTGGGGTTTAAATACGTGAGTGCCATTGCGATTCGAGAACCAACGTGGTCAAATCTGGAAGCGTTCAAAGGGTGGCTTTTTTTGAAATGTGGGTCAACAGATTGTCCGAATGAGAACGAACGGATACTCGAGTTATTTTAAAAAACAGGTAATTGTAAAACTTATTTACAATAACGAAGTTGTTTTAATCTTATTTATTAAAACAAAATAGTTTTTATAACGTAGACTAAATCTCGAGCATATATCAATTTTTTTAATGTTAACAATGAGTCATTTAATACATCATCTTTATTTTTTTCTAAAAAATTATTTTATCATTCAAAAATCTAGGTTCTTTATCTTCTCTTTATTATCGAAAAATCTCTTCGTTTTTCTAATGAGAAGACTGTTTTTTGTCTTTGCCATGACTGGTACCGAGAAAAACAAGTTAGAGTCCAATCATCTCTCGGCTTTCATATAGGAAAAACACAACCCGTAAAAACAGGATTGTTTGTGGGTATGGTATGTGTAGGCGGTAATTGATTGGTTGGGAAAAGAAGGGAAATCCAAAAGCATGCAAAAGGAGCTTATGCTTTGATGATGCTTTGATGTGATTGCATCCATATATATACTGCGTTGGAAATGGCCACGGAATCTCTTAATTTGATGTCCCAAAGCGAAGTGCTTTGCTTTGATAATGATATTTTGGATACTTGTCTTCCTTCAAGAAATGCCCTATATTCTTTGATAATGCTCGCTTATTTCTCCGAAATATTCCAATATTTACAAGAGCAAGCCGATCATGAGATTCTTTTCCACCATGGATTCATTAAAATTGCTTAATGGCGAGTATCAAGAACAATGACAAGCTTAAGCAAGAGTATCCCGACGAGCTTTGCTTTGATGATAGTTTTTTGGATTCATGTCTTTCCCCAAAAAATGTTTTATTTTGAGTTCGATGATTTATCGGCTAAGGATGAGAGTTTATAATGTTTTATTTTAATTTAGATGGATATGCTTTTACGAAGCATAGAGTCGTTACGTTGCGTAATAGTCTATGCTTTCATCGAGGCGGTAAAGTGATGAGTTCCGATGATTTTATTTTGTTTGCTTGATTTTGGTTATTATCAAGACAACGATATATGCTAGTGCTCGTTTAAAGCAAATAACTTTGTCAAATGACAATTGAATCTTTATTTTTTAAAGGAATGCCAAAACAATTGAATTTTTCATCTTTATAGAAAAAATAAATAGTTACCTTGGGGATTACATTATGTTCTCGGGAATTCAAGTTAGTAAACTTGGATCCTTTCCGTAAGATTCTTGGTATCCACACCGGCGGTGAAAATTTTACAAGTGTGTTTCTAAGGAATATGAATGTGTTATGTGGTACAACGAACATCATTTTACGAGGATCATAATCGGGAGTGTTATTTTGATATACGAGTACTTTTGCGGATTGGCATGACAATCAAATTTAGCCATCAAACATCGGTTAATACGAAATGCATGTCCGTAAATGGAGAAGCCAATGACAAACATAGGAAGCAATAGACTTTGTTTCGTTCGATCATCTCTCAGATCAAAATACATGGTCGAGCCTCATTCCGTTACTTGAAAATTTTAGTCAACAAATACCGATAATAGTTCCCTTCGTAAATTCCTAGAGTTTAAAGACATTTTGCGACGACTTGAAGTCGTAACGGAAAATGTTGGCACTACTCGGAATGTTTTTTCACCAAGAAAGTAGAGGATCGATTTCAAAAGCATTAAGTGTAATCAAGTAGAATTCATCTTTTCTAGCATAGCTTTGGCCGAGTCAAGTTGCTCCGTACAATATTCCCAAATTTAAGATAAGAATGCGAGTGTTGTTATACTTGAATGAAGCACAATGAAGATTAACCTCGAGTGGATGAGAAAAGATCTCTTACTCTGTTCATAAGTCGTTGCTTTCTAGGCAATTGTACGTAAAAAGGTTCCCATATTTATGATAGACGAACTGCAAGTCAAAGAGAAAGCATGTTATGTCCTCTCAATAATAGGCTTATTACCACCATACAGAGAAACCAAAAAATAAAATTTAATTCGAGTAAAAGATATACATTAAGATAGCAGACATATTACTAACGAGCATTTAAGCGAGAAAAGGTTGTCATTTGACAAAGTTATTTGCGAGTAATTCGATCTTGAGCATTGTGCTATGCAAGTTCTTACTATAGGCTAATACACGGAATCCTCTCGTTTATTTTGTATTCTTTTTGCCACTTTATTGCTAGCTCTTTCCAATCTATTTTATTGATCGACTTTTAGAAAAAAAAATTGAGTAGAACGAAAAGGACGTGAAAACTTACTCGTGTTGTCTTTTATAAAACAAGCAGAAATGAAATGTAATTAAATTTTATCATGCAATAGTAAATCGAGCATAAAATCAAAAGAGTTTGATGAAAAGTACCGGAGGAACAACTTTGGAAATCAACGCCGCAAGCAGTAAGTATTTCTTTTATTTGTTCTCTACATCAACAAAAAACTAACCAAAAAAATATCAAACCATGCCCAACTCCCGAAAATCTTTACACGCATCATCATTATGACTTAGAAGTACTATCGTGCTAGCCAAGCATATTTAAAAGATACCGCGAGACTTGATAAAGAGATTTTGTCAATTGACTCGTTGATGAGACTCAAACCACGAATTCCGTAGGCTTGTAAACTATGTGCACGAACTTGACAACGAAGTTTTATCATTATTAGGGTATCGGGATCATCAATTTAAACTAACAATTTTCCGTGCCTCGGGTTTGCTTGCCCAAGTTCGACTCGACTGGCCCCTCATTAATTGATCATAATTCATAGGGTAGAAAGGATAACAAAGGCGAGTGGTATCGTTGCTTGGCGACTCCCTCAAGAGCGAAGAACGGACTCGTTCCTCCCGCAATTCTTTGGCAACTCTTAGGAGGATATCGGATCGATGGCGAGTGGTACCGTTGTTGAATCAAAAATAGAAGAAGAAGAAGAAATAAAGTTGGGATCTTATGATAGGAAGGTGGGAGTGTTAAGGGAAGATGAAGACGCAACTACAGGGGAAATCATGCTCTTGTGGGGTATCCACCCGATACCCGTTTTGAAAGCCAAACTCGTTGTACAAACAAGATTTACTACATTCTTCTTTTAATGCTCATAAGAATGTAGTCGTTTTGTGCAATTTATTATCTAATGGAAGTGAAGAAGAATCGGTAAATCTTATTAACATACGCTAGAAAATTAAGAGAAAATTTTATCACGATTAAATAAATAAAAATAAGAGAATTTAGAAAAAGACCTTAATTGATAATATAAATATACTAGAGAATTTGTCTAGTGATCATGATTTTAAATTGTGAGAGTATTTGAACTTTAAGAAATTAGGACAAAGACAACAAAAGAAAGACAAATAGCGTCGGTTAATTTTTCTTTTTATGTTTCTAATTTTTTAAAATTATTAAATTAAATATTTATTATATCATTTAATTAAAAAGAGATGATGTGCATGCCTACATGGCAAAACTACATCTTTTTTTATAAATAAGTTTAAGACTACCTTATTATAAGAAATAAGATTAAAAAGTATCCTATTTTAGGAAAAAACTCCGGATCCTCTTGCAATTTAGAATGTATTTAGCTAAAAAAAATTAAAATGTAATAATTAATATAAAAAGTTTGTTTGATAATTTAAATAATTTCATATTTAAAATTTAAATTAGTTAAAATATAATTAATGAAATAAGTTAAAGTTTTTAATTTAAATTTTTTTTACTAATATGCTCGAAAATTTATAAATTTTTTTAAATGTGATTATATAACCCTTATATAGTCTTATAATCCTAACTACGCAAATCGATTAATAAACGATCTCTATTGTTCCTATTGCCGTAACAAAGAAGACCTTCCCCATTATCGTTGCTTCTATCCTATCATCGTCAACAAGCTATTAATTAGAAAAAAACCAAATAAGCATCTCAATTATAAAGGTGGATTTTGCTAAGTTACAATTCTTTCGGTATCTTACTTAATAAATGTCAAAGGTCTCTTGTTCAATCATGTGCCTCAATATAGTTGTTAAGCCACGTACGACGAAGATATGTTTAATACATTGATAGGGTTTATTTCCGGAATATCTATGGTGATAAAGCTTGCTTGTCTATTAAATTTTGGCATTAATTTTTGATTTCACTTAAACGTATCCTCTATATTACAAGTTTTAGTTATTCGATACAAATTATTTTTCATTGATCTCTATTTCAACGGAAAGATTTTCGGTGTAAATTTTACCAATACGATCTTTAATTTCATATAAATTCAGCAATTCATAACCAAACAAGAGAGAGAGAAAAACATAATATACAATTCCTAGCCAAATTCTTGGATACCACTTGCATAAAATTCATTCGACAACGGTATACGATCGTTAATTCTGCTTTTTGAAAAACGTACTTTACAATTGCTTTTTATTGTCCACCTCTTTTGTTTCATATGTTTGTCCCAAAAGTTATTGCAACTCATGCTACCAAAAAAAAAAAAAAAGGAAGATTCAAGAAGGCTAGGCCACGGACATATAAAGAGCCATAGGAGATTCTTTTTATAAGGTTTTTATTTTCGGATTTTTGAGCAAATGTAGTGGTATTAATAATATATTTGAATTCTCTTATGTGAGATTGAATTCTATGTATATATTTTTATTTTTGTTAAAAAAATATATTACAATTGTAATATTCAAAATTCTCATATATATATTCTTAATATGTTCGAGCAACGTATTTATCAAACAACCTTATTATATTTAGTACTTAATTTTCGAGTACATACCAAATAGCTTATTAGCA